TGGTAAGGGTAGGGTCAGGGGTGGGAGGCTGGTGGGCAAAGGACTGGGTATCCCCTCCACAGACCATCTTTGAGATCAACGCCTCCAGCCGAGACCTGTGCAGCCAGGTGATGCGCGCCAAGCGGCAGAAGGACCGAAAAGCCATCGCCCGCTTCCAGCAGGGACGGCAGGGGCGGCAGGAGCATCAGGAGGGCCCTGTAGGGCCAGCCCTGAGCCGCCCAGCACTGCAGGAGAAGCAGCCTGAGGAGGAGGAGGAGGCGGGAGAGAGTGTGGAGGTACAGGCCCCACCTTGGGTACCCTGGACCTGGGGTACGGGATGGGGTGGCTAAGTCCCAGCAGCCCATGGGACTGTCCTCGGGGCTTTGAGCCGTGGAGGGAGGGCGGAGGCAGTCAGCTTCGCACCTGCAGGGTCAGGACATGGTTCTTGTCCTCCATCCCTCGTTTAAAACTCTGGGCCCAGATCTTTAGCCTGAAGAGCTGTGTACGACATGACACTCTCAGTGGGTCAGGGGTGTCACCAGCCCCCAATACATCAGGGCTTCTGCAGCGAGGCGTGCGGATTTCCACTCAGAGGGAGGACCATGATTGTCCCGTTCACCTGGTGGGTGGGTCCTGGGCCTGCATGTCCCCCAGGATGTCCTCCCATGTTTTGTTTGGACAGAGGGTTTGGTAGCCCAGAAGAGCAGCTGGGCCCATGCTGTTCAGAGTAGGCCAGATACAGAGAGGGGCAGGGCTGGCTGTCGCATGGCCTGGGGTGCAGAACGGGAATGGGGAGCTGGGTCTCCCCCACCGGCACTCTCCACCTCACGCAGCTGTCCTGCCTCTGCCGGTCCCTGAGGCAGGGGTTGCGCTCTGTGTGCAGATGAGGAAACTGAGGGTCCCACAGGAGACACTGTCACCCAGCCAAGAAATGGCAAAGCGAAGCTTTTCAAGTCCCTGGAAAACCACTGGCCCCTCACTGTGGCCGGGCTGGTGGGTGGCGAGGCCGGGGGGGGCTCCCCAGGGGGCTGCAGGCATGACTCAGTCCACACTCTGCCAGGATGTCTTCTCGGAGGTCTTGGGCCGGAAGCGGCCGAGGTCGGGACTGGACAGAGGAGCCAAGAGGCAGAGGGAGGCGGCCTGGCAGCGGGACCAGGAATTCTACATCCCCTACCGGCCCAAGGACTTCGACAGCGAGCGGGGGTGAGTGGCTGGCTGGGTCCTGGGCGGGGCAGGCAGGTCCACTGGGTCCCATCACCCCAACCGTGGCTCCCACTCTCCCTCTGCAGCCTGAGCGTTGGTGGGGAAGGGGGAGCCTTCGAGCAGCAGGCGGCTGGCGCTGTCCTGGACCTGATGGGGGATGAAACCCAGAATCTCACGAGGGGCCGCCAGCAGCTCAAGTGGTGAGTGATGGAGTAAGCACCCCTCCATGCCCAGGGTGAGTGAGCGGGTGAGCTGCCCCTCCCTCCATGCCCCAGGTGAGTGATTGAGTGAGCCTCCCCTCCCTCCGTGCTCGGAGGGAGTGAGGAGTGAGCCCCTGCTCCATGCCACCAGGCAGGGTGAGCTCCCTGATGTCCTCACTCCCATCTGATCTTGCACAGCTGGGATTATGACCTGGCTGTCCCCATGTGACCACTCACAGCAGGTGTGATGGTCTCTGGCTGTCCTGTCCCCTTGATTTGATTGCACACCACAGAGATCTTGATATCCCGTCGGTCCTTTTTGCTGGCAAGTCTTTCTAGACAGGGCTCAGGTCCCATTTGTTCAGGAGGACTCTAATGTCTAGAGAATGGACGCGTCTCAGCCCAGGGTCACAGTCGGGAAGGGGCAGGTGATTAAAGCCTCCAGGGGGCTCTTGTCTCTGCGCCAAGCCCAAGTGCTGGCACCAATCCTCTGACCGCCACACTCCCTTTTGAGACCTGGACTGCCAGGGAGAGGTGAGGAGGGATAGGGAAGGAGCCTTTATTGAGCACCAACTGCATGCCAGACATGGCTGCACTGCTTTCTTGTAATGCTGCAACAACCAGATGAGAACGTTGGGGAGTGGGCGCCAGCACTCCAGGTGTCTCCCTCCACGGCAGCCCTCCCAACTCCCTCTCCTGCAGGGACCGTAAGAAGAAGCGATTTGTGGGACAGTCAGGACAGGAAGACAAGAAGAAGATTAAGACAGAGAGCGGCCGCTACATCAGCAGCTCCTACAAGAGAGACCTGTATCCAGAGGGGCGTGGCCACGGAGGGGCGGGGCCGAGCCGCTTCCGCAGCGGCGGCTCCAATTAAGTGGCACCTGAGGGCGGGGTCGGTGAAGAGGAGGGTAAGGGGCTGAGCATCTTCAGCAGCAGCATCTCCAATAAGTGGGACCCGAGTGCTGGGGGCGGGGCCAAGTAGCTTCAGCAGCAATGTCTCCAATAAGCGGGACCTGTGTGCTGGGGCCGGGGCTGAGCGGCTTCAGCAGCAACATCAATAAGTGGGACCCGTGTGCTGGGGGCGGGGCCGAGCATCCTCAGCAGCAGCATCTCCACTAAGTGGGACCTGTGTGCTGGGGGCGGGGCCGAGCATCTTCAGCAGCAGCATCTCCACTAAGTGGGACCTGTGTGCTGGGGGCGGGGCTGAGCATCTTCAGCAGCAGCATCTCCAATAAGTGGGACCCGAGTGCTGGGGGCGGGGCCGAGCAGCTTCAGCAGCAACATCTCCAATAAGTGGGACCTGTGTGCTGGGGCCGGGGCTGAGCGGCTTCAGCAGCAACATCAGTAAGTGGGACCCGTGTGCTGGGGGCGGGGCCGAGCAGCTTCAGCAGCAGCATCTCCAATAAGTGGGACCCGTGTGCTGGGGGCAGGGCCGAGCAGCTTCAGCGGCGGCTGGGATAACGGACCTGTGTCTGCTGAGACGGTGCGGGGTGGAGCCTGCTCCCAACCCAGTGGCTTCACGCAGCTTCCTTAACGAGGCTTCCCAGCTATCAGAAGTGGAAGCAGAAACAGAAAATTGATGATCGTGACTCCGACGAGGAAGGAGCATCTGACCGGCGAGGCCCAGAGCGAAGAGGTGGGAAGCGAGGCCGTGGCCAAGGTGAGAGAGCCAACGTAGGGAGTGTGGGTGCACAGGTAGCAGGGCAGGTGTGGTCGGATTAGGGTAACACTGAGGCACAGGTGCAGGGGTTACTGCAGAGCCCCAGAGCTGGGTGTGTTGGGGTATGCTGCCAAAACCCTGGGTCCCTCCATGATTCCCCACCCCACCCCCACAGATTGCCCTTTCTGCTGTCCCGGCCTCTGATGGTCACGAGCACCGCCTCGCAGGCGCTGGAAAGCACCATGCCCCTCAGGCACATTGTCCCCAACCCCTTCCAAAGCCATGGGCGTAATTTCTGTTAGATGCCCTGTTCACCTAATTCACCCCGTTGTCTAGAAACCTAGAGAACTCGGGAGGTGGAACTTGTGCGAATGATGCTATGTGGGCCTTTTTCACCTGCAAAAATAGCATTTGCATGTGGTTCGACCTGACAAAGTGAGCATGAATTGATTCCCTGTGGCATCCTCGGGAGTGACGTTCTTTTTAGCAGTGTTGTGGGGAAGTTCATGTCACCAAAGATGCAGTCAGAGGCAGCTTTGGTTCCGGGAGGAGGCGATGACAGAAGATGTTGAGGAAGGTGCTTCCTTGAAATGTGGGTTGGCAAGTGGTACGTTTGGTCACCTGAGGACTTGGACCTCTTTGATCTGGCCTGGGTCCCTCAGCCAGTAACAGGCTAAGGTGGATTTGAAGCCGGCTCTGTCTGCCATAGCCTGTGCTTAAGGGCTGCTGTCAGGGAGGGCCTCCCACTTGCTGGGTGTGGACAGGTCACACATGACCTGGGAGGCAAGGTGACTGCGAATACTCACTTTACAGGCCAGGAAACAGGTACTTTATGAGGGCTGTGACTGAACCTGGGTCACCCAGCTGCCCAAGGCTCCCACCTGCGGCCTTCCCTGGGGAGAGGGGAGTTTGGGACCATGTCCTGGGTCTCTCAGATTGCCTTAGCCCCTGCTTGTGTCGCTCCACTCCCCGGGGCTGGTCACCGCCTCCTCTGGGTGTCTCTGAACCTGCATGCATTTGCCTGCGCCTCTTCTCTGTGGCTCCTCCCCCTCCAGCTCTCCCATCTGTGGGAATGTCTCCTTGTCAGCGTGGCTGGGTGGGGACCACCCACACCTCACTTCTCAGCCTGTTTTTACCTGGGTAAAACAGCAGCTTCTGCAAGCAGTGCCACGCAGTGGGCGGGCAGGGCCCAGGGAGGCGGGGGCGACCTGTGGGCTTTGGGAGAAAGCAGCTGTTCCTCCCTGCGCTGTGTCCTCATTGGAGGTGATAGGTCCTGCGAGGCACCCTGGCTCCAATGGAGACAGCTGGGACCACCCCAGTGGTCATCCCTCCAGGAGCCCTGGAGAGGCTGCTGTTCTGAATGGGGCGGAGGAGGAGGACACAGGGCTTAGTGGGAGCCAGGGAGGGCGGTGCTTGCCTCCCAGACAACTAGAAGAATGGACTACCTGGGGCCCGACTGTCAGGCTGGGGCAGGGCTGCTGACCTCCACTGCTGCTGCTTTGCTGTGTGACCTCAGACAAGTCCCTTTCCCTCTCTGGCCGCCTCTGATTCTTCTCCCGCCTAAAGGAAGGTTCATCTACACCCTTTTTTTTTTTTTTTTTTTTATCTAACAAGCCTAGAGCATGCTGTCCATGGAGATAGAGGCTGAGGTCTGTCTTGGTTACTATGGGGGCCTCAGAGCCCAGCGTGTAGTAGGTGTGCTGTGGAAACAGACACACCTGGATTGGAGAATTGTCAGCAGTAACAGTCATGCCCGGAAGACTCTCACCGTGGGCCAGGCCTTGTTAGGAGCACTTTATACCATTTATTCTTCACCCATGAGGGGGATGCTGTGATTTTTCATTCACAGATGGGAAAACTGAGGCATGGAGCCATTAACTAACTTGCCCAAGGTCTAAGAGGTCACAGCTGGGATTTGAACCCCGCGTTTCTGGCCCCGTGCTATTGACCACTCCGTGGGGCTCCCTAAAGCTTTGTTAGCCACCTACTGGGCCACAGCAGTAAGCACAGAACAGGAGTGGGGCCAGGGAGGAGTCTGCGAGCTTCTGGGAGGAGGGGATCTTGGGAGTGATCCCACCACCGGAACTCACTGGAGTCCCTGTCCCGGCAGGTGCATCCCAGCCCCGCGCCCCAGGCGCCCCTGCAGGCCGTGTCCGCCCGGAACTCAAGACCAAGCAGCAGATCCTGAAGCAGCGGCGCCGGGCCCAGAAGCTGCGCTTCCTGCAGCGCGGTGGCCTCAAGCAGCTCTCCGCCCGCAACCGCCGCCGTGTCCAGGAGCTGCAGCAGGGTGCCTTCGGCCGGGACGCCCGCTCCAAGAAGGGCAAGCTGCGGAAGAGGATGTGAGGACCAGGACCGAGTCCCGTGGTTCCTTGCTCGGCCTTAGGGTGGACATCAGCAGACGCTCCTGTGCACCACTGCGTGCCTGGCCTTGTGCCGGGCACTGGGGGCACTCCCTGCAGGAGCCATCATTCGTGAAAAGGAGTGCTGTATGGCCACAGAAGGGCAGCAGCTGCGTCAGCCTAAGACAGAGACATTTGAGCAGGGCCTTGAAGCGTGTGTAGGAGTTCGCCAGCAAAGCCAGGCAGGCCAAGACCTGAGTTGGCAACTCAGCTGCTGCTGCTTCCATGTGTTCTGGCTTCAGAGGTCATGGCTGCACCGGTCAGAGCCCTGAGTGCCTCAGGGTTTGGTGATGGCATTTTTAATGTAATAAATCTTTATTGAGCGCTGCTGGTGGGCCAGAGTGTGGTCTGCTTGGGGAGTTGGAATGGAGAGACCCGGGTACTAAAATCCCAACTAATGTGGCAGAGGAGTCGAGAGCATATCCAGGGTCTCCCAAGGTGGGGTTCTGCGGCTGTGTCCATTTAGCAACGAGGAAAGTGAGGCTCAGAGCACAAGCCAGGTGCCAGAGGTGGAAGTTGGTCCCCCTTCCTCCCACCTGCTTCCTTGCAGCTGGAGTGGGCTGCGGGAGGGGAACAGGATGCACAGCCTGGGGCCAAGGGCATGCCGCTCCCCTCTGGCTGTGAAGAGGTTAACACAGGCCCTCCATACCTGGAGGTCAGAACCTGACCTGCCCTCTTACCTCCCACCCCATTCAAGGTTCAGAGAAGGTCAAGGGCGACCCCAGGTGCTGGATTCTCAGGCTGGACCCCTCAGCGGGCAGAGTCCACAGTGGAGAGGCCTAGGTGAGCTCTTATCTAGCATGGACCCTGTTCTGAGACCTGACAAAGAGCTTTTTTCATGCCCTAGCCACCCTGGGAGGGAGGGCCTGGTCTGGTCTCATTTTAGAGGCGATTGCCCCACACAGAGCCCCTTGACCTTCCCATCACCTCCTCATCAGGGCCTGCATTTATTGAGTGCTTGCTGTGTGCCTCTCATGGCAGGCCCACAGCACTCTGAACAGGCACAGCCCTCCCATCTTCCCAATGAGGAAATGGATTCAGGAAGAGCCACTCTGTCACCCCCCATCAGAAATGTGGGGCCCTCCTATTCTGGGGTCTCTTGGGAGTCCCCTCTCCCGCTACTCACCTGGGTCAGGGCTAGGCGGCAGGCGCTGCCGGTTCAGCATGGCGGCGACGTCTTGCATGAACAGCTTCACCTGGAGGACCCCAACACGAAGTCACAGTTCAAGCCCAAGAGCCACTGTCCAGCCCCTACCCCTTAACATGTGGGAAGGCCGAAAGGCAGGGCGGGGACTGGAGACCCCCTCACTGAAAGAACAGTAATGATGGTGGTTCCCAGAGGCAGTGACAGATCCTAAACCGTTCTGGGTTTTAAAAGCCTCAGGCCAGCCTTCCCCATTGCCGCATGAGCAGACACCTCAGCTTCCTAGCTGCTGCCACCTGCACCGTCCAATTAGTATTTTCATTTACATCAGTCAGCTTTATTTTCTTTTAATTGGATCAGTCGTATTCATTGGTTTGTGACTTACTCTCATCTCCATGGGCGGCCCTCCTTTATTTTGTTTTAATTCTTTATGGATAGCAACTTAATAAATGCCACAGATCCATTGTGAAAACTAGAACTTGAGAGTGAACGTACAGCTATCTGTGGCTCCCCCTCCTAGTCATCACCCTATCAACAGAAGGAAACTTTCTCCACCAAAAATGGAAAGAAATAGTGACCCCTTGTCATAATGAGGGGGTACTTGAAAATAATGAAAATGCAATGGACAAATGAAGCTGTTACTGAATTCCGGCAGCTGCAGAACAGTGTGAGTCCTGGCCTGGAGGCCGGGGAGTGTTAGGGGAAGTGGGAAAAAGCACAGTGTCCCTCCAGGGAGCCTTTCTCCTTGACAGGGGCAGAGCTGATTTTGAAAAGAGATGGTCTGGTTCTAGTAGTGGTGTTTATAACTAATTAATTACAGCCAGTTACTGAGTTTGTTCCTTGTTCATGTCCAGCTACTTCAGTTGGACTAAAAGACAAGGGACTGGCCGGGTGCAGTGGCTCACACCTGTAATCCCAGCACTTTGGGAGGCTGAGGCGAGCAAATCACGAGGTCAGGAGATAGCGTCCTTCCTGGCTAACACAGTGAAACCCTGTCTCTACTAAAAATACAAAAAATTAAGTGGGTGTGGAGGTGTGCACCTGTAAAATCCCAGCTACCCAGGAGGCTGAGGCAGGAGAACACTTGAGCCTGGGAGGTGGAGGTTGCTGTAAGCTGAAATCGCGACACCGCACTCCAGCCTGGGTGACAGAGCGAGACTCCGTCTCAGAAAAAAAAAAAAAAAAAAAAAGAAAAGAAAAGGGACTGACTTTTGCCTGATTCCATGGAGCCTGTGTTTTTGCTAGTCTGTTGTGCCACAAGGTAGCCAGGTAACCAGCCAGGCTGGGAAGAACAGTGGCATCAATGTATCCAACCAGCTGGGAGGGGCGAAGCAGATTCCCAAGGACCCAGGTCGTGGCATTTGGTTGGAATCCTGGCCATTGGGCAGAACAGGAGTGGGGATGTGGGGGAAAAGGTGGGGCGCCTCCCTTTACTTTGCCTCCACTTCTCAAAGCAGCTGGGCCATGCTCTGGGTAGACTCACTAGAAACATAACAGAAGTGTCTGAAGTCTGAAATCTCCCTCTTTTGTAAACCTATGTCACACCAGGTGCAATGAATGGCTCATGCCTGTAATCCTAGCACTTTGGGAAAGCTGAGGCAGGAGGATCACTTGAGGTCGGGAGTTTGAGACCAGCCTGGCCAACATGGTGAAACCCCATCTCTACTAAAAATACAAAATTAGCCGGGTGTCTTGGTGTGTGCCTGTAATCCCAACTACTCAAGAGGCTGAGGTAGGAGAATCGCTTGAACCTGGGAGGCAGAGGTTGCAGTGAACTGAGATTGTGTCACTGCACTCCAGCCTGAGTGACAGAGCTAGACTCTGTCTCAAAAGCAAAAAAAAAAAAAACCCATGTCATATTCTGTACTGCACAACTCAGCCTCACCCTACCCTCACCCTCCCTGGGAAAGCTGAGACTTCTCTGCACAGGGAGGAGGGAGCCAGAAGGCCAGAGATTAATGAGTGAGTCTGGACCTCCTGGTTTTTTCAGGTGTTGCCACATGTGTGGGCTGTCAGATCCTGGGGGAAAAGGGAGTCAGTACAAACCCTGGCCTTCCTGGTAGAGGAAGCGCACTGAAAGGAAGAGAAGGGCATGGCTTTCTTCTGGCCACACAGCCAATCACTGTCGGAGCAAAGATGCACCCAGGAATCCATCCTAAGCTGGGTGCCTGCGCAGCGATCCAGCCCACGGCCCGGGGGAAAGGACGCTGACCTCTTAAGAAGGCCATGCTTAACCCAGAAAAGGTGTCACTAACTGTAGTGTTTTAGGTACCTGATTTTTCCAAAGAGGGATAGCTTGGGGGCTGGAGGTGCCATAAAGAGGGGGCCTTACCTGCTCTAGCTGCCCCTCTGTGTCCTCAATGTCCAGGGCAGGCGGCTGCCCCTGATGCTGGCACACTAGCTGGAACAGGTTGAGCACGGCCATCCTGCTGCGCCCCAGGAGCAGAGTCTTCTCCGCTGCTGTGTTCTGAATCTGAATCCACTTGGATTCCTGGAGAACACCCACCCCGCTCCCAATTAAGGCAACTGGCCGGCCCAAGACAGGCTGCCCCCTCGTCCCATCCTTTTTTTTTTTTTTTGAGACGGAGTCTCACTCTGTTGCCCAGACTGGAGTCCAGTGGTGTGACGTCAGTTCACTGCAACATCTGCCTCCTGGGGCCTAGCGATTCTCCTGCCTCAGTCTCCTGAGTAGATGGGACTACAGATGCACGCCACCACGCCTGGCTAATTTTTAGTAGAGACGAGGTTTCGCCATGTCGGCCAGGCTGGTCTCAAACTCCTGAAGTGAGGTGATCTGCCCACTTTTGCCTCCCAAAGTGCTGGGATGACAGGCGTGAGCCACCGCGCCCGGCATTCTTCCCATCCACTTTAGCCAGTCAGGCACAGATTCTCTCGAGAGAGGGGTGCGGGAGCCTGGTGCCGGCGGATAGGGCGGGGCCTCATGCCCGAAAGATGATGCCTGAGATCCCCTCCTTAGCGCAGCGGAGCCTCTGGGTAAGTATTGCCCCATCAGTCCTCATCAGCCCTGGCGCTCCTCCCCGCCCGGCGGTGGAAGCCTGGGGTCCCGAGCGCCCCCCACCTGGGGCGGGCCGTACCCACTGCAGCGTGCGCTCCCGGGCAGCCTCCAGGCGCTCCTGCAGCTGCGCCCGCCGCTGGCCCTGTGCGAGCAGCTCGTCCGGCCAGGCGTCCCGCAGCCGCTGCAGCCGCGCCCGCACCGCCTCCTGCTCGGCGAGCCGCTCGCGCTCCCTCAGCCTCAGCGCTGCCTGGGTCTCGGCCAGGCCGTCGAAGCGCGCCACCAGCTCCGGGACATCTTGGAACTAGAGTGGGGGCGGGGAAGGGACTCACATGGGCCTGCGGTCTCCTACCCTCTCCATCCCACCTGGCCGCTGGCGCTTTTATTATTGGAATAATCTTTCTGGAAAGTGACTTGGCAGTTGGCAAATGTCAACCTCAATTTGTTAGAGACAAGGTCTCGCTCTACCACCTGGGCTGGAGTGCAGTGGCGCGATCATAGCTCGCTGTCATCTCCAACTCCCGGACTCAAGCGATCTTCCCACTTCCGCTCCAGAGTAGCTGGGATTACAGCCGCAGGCCACCAAACCCGGTTAATATTTTGTAGAGACGGGGTGGGGTGGGGTGGGGTCTCTCTACGTTTTCCAGGCTGGTCTCAAACTCCTGGCCTCAAGCAATCCTCCCGCCTTCGTCTCCCAAAGTGTTGGGATTACAAGGCGTGAGCCACTGCGCCCGGCCAGAGTTAGCTTTCTGTATCTTCAGTTTTCCTATCTGTAAAATGGGATTGACAGTTGACAATAACAGGACTCCTTTCACTGGACTTTGGGAAGGATTCAAGAACAAGGATTCAAGAACAAAACGTGGGCGGTGACTCACGCACGTAATCCCAGCACTTTGGGAGTCCAGGAGGGAGGATTGCTTGAGCTGAGGAGTTTGAAACCAGCCTGGGCAACATAGTGAGACCCCCTCTCTATTAAAAACAATAATTTTAAAAATAGCCAGGCGTGGCCGCATGCGCCTGCGGTCCCAGTTACTTAGGAGGCAGAGGCAGGAGGATCCCTTAAGCCCGGGAAGTCAAGGCTGCAGTGAGCCGCGATCGCGCCAATAACGCAGCGAGACACAGTTTCAACCCTCCCCTCGCCCCCCCCCCGCAAAAATCTAACAACAATAAAACCTAAAGCGTATGCGTGGCACACAGTGAACGCTCCATAAGTGACAGTTCCTGGCATGCAGTTAGCGCTCCAGTAGTTCGCTGCGCGGTGCCCTGAGCTCCCAGCCTCCTGCCCAGCGCTCACCCCGGGCAGCAGCTCCAGCGCTTGCTCCAGCAGGCTCGCGCAGGGCTGCAGGCGCCGCAGTCTGCGCTGCAGCCGCGCGTGCTCCCGCCGTAGCTCCTCGAGCTGGGCCCGCAGCCGCAGCGCCTCCGCCTCCCGGCGGCCCACCTGGTTCCGCTCCTCCGCCGCCCTCCGCAGCACTCGATTGCGCCGGGCCTCGGAGTCCTGGGGAGTAAGGTGGGGAGCAGGCGACCTTCAGGACTCGGGAGCTGGCGGGGAGTTCGCCACCTCCGCCCTGCCCTGACTTTCGCACGCAAAACCTGGGCGGCCAGCAGCGGGCAAAGAAGTTGGCTCTTCACCGCACGCCCTGCATTTTTTTTTTTTTTTTTTTTTTTTTTTTTAACTCGGCAGCTTCAGGCAGTGCGTGTGTGTTTCCCGCCGTTCCATTTTGCATGACTAAACCCACTGCTTTTCTTTTTGCTCCCTGCCGGGCCCCTATGTGGGTGTGAGCTGCGACCCATAGGCCCCGCCTCCCCGCCCCCAGCAGTCTCCACATACCTGGAAAAACTTGTCAAAGCGGATGAACGACTCCTTTAGCTCCCGCTCCTTCTGTTCCAGCTGTTCCCAGCGCTGTTTCAGGGCTGCCATCTTGGTGTGGAACACCTGGGGATGAGGAGTGGGTTGTCTGTGTGGGTTTGGGGGTCCGGGTCCTCCCGTGCTCTCAGGTTCACACCTCACCCCTTCCACCTGTTGTCCCTGATCTGTGGCTGCTCCCTGCTCAGCCCAAACACCCTCCTCCAGCCCCCGACTACCAGTGTCCCTGTCCTTCCCTCAGGCCTCATTGTACCCTCTCTCCTCCCGTACTCTGTCTTCCAGCCACTCAACTACCTGTGTTTTGCTCTTGCCTTCCAGTCTTTGTGTATGGTTTTCCTCTGGCTGTTTTTTCCTTCCTCATCCCATTCCCCTTTGCTGGATAAGCTGACTTGCCCTTCAGCAATCACCAAGACATCACTTCCTCCAGGAAGCCCTCCATGACCACCCCCATGGGGAGGCAGGGGCTTCTTCGGGGCTCCCACAGCTCCTGCCCAGCGCTTCTCCCCTGTAGCAGTCACCACCTGAACACTCATCTGCTTTCCTCTCTAGACTGAGCCCCGCAAGGGCAGGAACCATGGTGAGACCTGCAGTTTGGTGCTCAATGCACACAAATTGATCTGCACCAACAACTGGTCTCATTTGGTCCCCATTTGACAGATGAAGAAACCAAGGCTTGGAGTGGTGAAACGACTTGTCTCAGACCTTGTAACTAACAACTTGGCTCCATCACTTATCTGCTGGCTCACCACCTGGTTACAGTAGTGGGGCTCACCTGCTTCTGGGCCTGCAGGGCCTGGTCTGCATCCACCAGCTCTTGCCTCTTCTCCAGGAGACGTAGCACTGGCGGGAAGTAATGCCCAGCCTGCTCTGGCAGCTTTCTGAAGAGACTCAAGGAGGAGGTGGGGGTGAAGGAAGCACGTGTCGGGGCCCCCACATCTCACCAGTGTCTGGAGTGCCCCGTTAGCCACCCACCAGCTGGTTAATTTTGTTGTTGTTGTTGTTTAGATTTGTTTTTCAGGTCTTGCTTTGTCACCCAGGCTGGAGTGCAGTGGTGTGATAGCTCTCTCCTGGGCTCAAGCAGTCCTTCCATCTTGTCTCCTGAGTAGCTAGGACTGCAGGCGTGTGTCACCACACCCGGCTAATTTTTATTTTGTAAAGATAAGGTCTTGATTTATTGCCCAGGCTGGTCTTGAACTTGTGGACTCAAGCAATCCTCCTGCCTCGGCCTCCCAGTATTGGGATTACAGGTGTGAGCCACCATGTCTGGTTAAATTATTATTTATTTTTATTATTTTTTGAGATGGAGTCTCACTCTGTCATCCAGGCTGGAGTGCAATGGCGCAATCTTGGCTCACTGCAACCTCCGCCTTCCAGGTTCAAGCAATTCTCCTGCCTCAGACTTCCAAGTAGCTGGGGTTACAGGTGTATGCCGCCATGCCTGGCTAATTTTTGTATTTTTAGTAGAGACGGGTTTTCACCATGTTGTCCAGGCTGGTCTCGAACTCCTGACCTCAAGTGATCTGCCCACCTTGGCATCCCAAAGTGCTGGGAGTACAGGCATGAGCCACCGCACCTGGTTGAATTATTTATTCATTCAGCAAATTGTCCTAAGCACCTACTCTGGGCCAGGCACCCTTCTAGGCACTAGGGGTGCAGCTGGGAACAGGACAGATAAAAATCCCTATTCCCTCATAAGCTGGCATTCTGCTGGGAGCCACAGAAAATCAACCTAATAAATAATAATAATAATAATAATAAAGAATGCCAGAACATGGTAGCCACTGAGACGAAAAATTAAGCAGACTAACGGGATCTTTCAACAGGAAGGCGGTGGCATCTGAGCAGGACCTGGAGGAGAAGAGGGATCAAGCCACATGGACATCTCCAGAAAACAGATTCTAGGATCCTAGTGTGGCCAGAGTGGCTGGAGAGGAGGGAGGGAGGAGGAAAGAGACGGGAATTGGGAGCAGGGAGGTGCTGAGAATCCAGCTGAGGTGGACCTTGGTGAGGAGGGACTTTGGCCTGGACTCTGAGTGAAGTGGGAGTGGGGGAGGCTTTCTGGCAGAGGAGGGCTCCTTCTGGCTGCAGGAGGCCAGTGGTGGGGCCAGGGGATATTCCGGAGGTAGTGCAGGCAGGTGAGAGCAGAGCTGATGGAGTGGGGATGGGGTGAGAATGGGGTCAGAGGTGATCCCAGCAGCCAGAAGGATGTTACTGGGAGAGCAGGTCAGGTCGGGGAGGCCAGCTCCCTACTATGGCCAAGCCCGAGATGCCCGAGGTCTCTGAGGGAGAGGCCCAGGAGGCGGTGGGGTTCTGGAGTCCAGCGCCACGGGGAGAACGGGAGAGCAGAAGGAATGACTAATGTGTAATTGGCAAGGCTTTCCTGGCCATAGCCCAGGAGAAACTCCCCTCCCCGTTTTATAGATGCCGAGAAGGGGTTGGGACTTGAGGCCCCTCTGCAGAAAGCAAAGGAGACACAGAACAAGCTTCCTCTGTTCCTCCTTAAAATGCAGTTTCGGGGGTGGATTGGGGAGCAGGATTTCATAGAATAATTCCTTCCCACCTCGGTTTGAATGATTTAATCTCAGCCGGATGTCAGCTAGGGGTGGGGGATCAGGAACAAACCCTGAGACCCTGGTGATGTCTGTTTCTCCCTGAGCCTCCGTTTCCTCTTCTGTGAAGTGGGGACAATAACCTCCAGTACGATCTGCTCAAGGAAGGCAGACCCCGAAGGTGAGGAAGAAGAGGTGGGCCAGCCCACCGGCTCCTGCCCTCCTCCTAGCCCTCCCCGCCTCTACGTCCCACTCACGTAGACAGTTTCTCCTGCAAGGCCAGTCGAAAATATTCCTCCCGGGGCACTGCCATCCTCCTGGCAGTTGCCCCAGCTTTCTTTCCACCAGCTGGAGTTTTGCACAAGTCTAGGAGAGCCCGGGGGTTCTGTGGAGCGTGGTGTGGAGGCCCGCTCAGCTCTCAGAAGGCAGTCGCCCAGCAGGCTCTGGTTGCCCCGGCAACCAACGACACAACATTCCACCGCGTGGCTGTGGCCTCGGAATCCACCCTGGGAGGGAGAGGGAAGGGGCTGCAAGGAGAGGAGCAGCCTCTGCCCCTCCTGGAGAGGCCTGTAACACCCCATCAAATGGGGGTGCAGTGGAGAGAATGGGGGTCCCTTGGCCAAGAAATTGCCTTTCTTAGTGCCCCACGTTTGGCCAAGCCTCTTCCTAGTTGGCTGGGATAGGGCCTCACTAACCGGGCCACAGTTGTGTGTACTCGGGCTGTGGCTCAAATGAATAATTACTGGGCACGCACTGCCAGCCAGACCCTAGGCGGAGTCATTCACTGCAGCCCTTTGAAGCGCCACTCCCTGTCCTGGTGATGGGGCTCCCCTGGCTATTTCTCGGGGAGCCCCCAGCCTGGTTAGGGAGACAAAGGGAGACCATCAGGACCTCCCAGTGGAAACCAGCTTGGAAGGAATGGTCTAGACTTGGGGGATGGGGGCATAGGGTAGGGGAGAAGCTGAGGTAGTTCGGGCATTTATTTATTTATTTCACGTGGAGTCTTGCTCTGCCACCCAGGCTGGAGTGCAGTGGCACAATCTCGGCTCACCGCAACCTCCGCCTCCCAGGTTCAAGCAGTTCTCCTGCCTCAGCCTCCTGAGTAGCTGGGATTACAGGCACACGCCACCATGCCCAGCTAATTTTGTATTTTTAGTAGAGACGGGGTTTCACCATGTTGACCAGGATGGTCTCGATCTCCTGACCTCGTGATCCACCCGCCTCGGCCTCCCAAAGTGCTGGGATTACAGGCTTGAGCCACCGCGCCCGGCCTGAAATGTATTTTCTTAATGTAGAGCAATGCTGTTTCAAAACCTGTAGTCCCTTGTAATGCCCATTGCTTCAAATGCTCCTAAGGATTTTGTTAGCCCATGTTTTAAAAACAGAATGAGGGTGGGGTGGGGTGGCTGAGGCCTGTAATCTCAGCACTCCGGGAAGACTGGAAATGCCCATTGGCCATTGGTGGGAGGATTGCTTGTGCCCAGGAGTTCCGGCCCAGCCTGGGTGACATAGAGAAACCCCAGCTCTACAAAAAATAATATTAGCCGGGGGTAGTGGCATGTGTCTGTAGTTTCAGCTACTCGGGAAGCTGAGGCAGGAGGATTGCTAGAGCCCAGGAGGTTGAGGTTTCAGTGAGCTATGATCACGCCACTGCACTCCAGATTGGGAAACAGAGCAAGAGTCTCAATAAATAAATATTTAAGAAATTTTAAAGAACAAAAATAATATACATTTTATCTTTGAGCATTTTTTAAATTAAATTGCACATGCTATCTTTCTGCACAAATTGATGTGAAGTTACGATGAGTTATATGATCTCATTTTTTTCTTTCTTTCTTTTTTTCTTTTTTTTTTTTTTGAGACAGAGTCTCACTCTGTCACCCAGGCTGGAGTGCAGTGGCTCAATCTCAGGTTACTACAACCTCCGCTCCCAGGTTCAAGAGAGTCTCCTGCCTCAGCCTCCAGAGTAGCTGGGATTACAGGCATTTGCCACCACACCTGGCTAGGTTTTTGTATTTTTAGTAGCGACAGGGTTTCGCCATCTTGGCCAGGCTGTTCTCGAACTCCTGGCTTCAGGAGATCTGCCCTCCTCGGCCTCCCAAAGTGCAGGGATTACAGGTATAAGCCACCTCTCCTGGCCTTGTTTTTTTAAAAAAATTTTGAAAAGATAAAGGTATCTTTTACAAAAAGTAAAGTCACTTTTTCCATATACAGTTCCATGGGTTTTGGCAAATACATCAAGTCATGTAATCACCACCACAATCAATATACAGAACCTTTCCATCACCCTAAAAAGCCCGTGTGCTCCTTTATAATCAACCCTTACCACCACCCCAGCCTCTGGCAACTTCTGCATGTTCTCTATCCTTCTGGTTTACCTTTTGCAGGATATCGTACATGTAATTACGGTATATACTTTGTAGCCCTTTGAGTCTACCTTCTTTCACTTAGTAAGAGCCATTTGACGTTTATTCATATTAATATGTGTATCAGTAGCTCATTCTTTTTTATTGGTGGGGACATTATATTATGAGTATTATGGTTTGCTGATTCATTCCCCAGGTGAAAGGCAGGTTGGTTGCTTCCAGTTTGAGGCACTTGCAAATGCAGGCTGTATTCATATACAGGTTTTTATGCCAACGTAAGTTTTCATTTTACTTGTGTTAATATGTGTGAGTGGTATTGCTCTGTCATATGGTAAGTGTATGTTTAACTGTATAAAAACTGCGGACTGTTTTTCAAGGTGGCTATATTATTGTTATATTCACACTAGTGATGTAAAAGAGTTCTAGTTGCTCCATAACCTCACCAGCAGCTGGTATTGTCGATTTTTAAAAAAGGCGTTTTATGGTTGGGTGTGGTGGCTCATGCCTAGAATCCCAGCACTTTGGGAGGCCGAGGCAGGTAGGTCAGGAGTTCAAGACGAGCCTGGGCAGCATGGTAAAACCCCATCTCTACTAAAAATACAAAAATTAGCTGGGCGTGGTGGCATGCACCTATAATCCCAGCTACTCAGGAGGCTGAGGCAGGAGAATCACTTGAATCTGGAAGGCAGATGTTGCAGTGAGCCAAGATCGAGCCACTGCACTCCAACCTGCCTGATGAGTGAGACTTCGTCTCAAAAAAAAAAAAAAGTCATTTTAATAGTTGCATTGTAGTAGAGGTTACAGTTAAAAAAATTTTTTTTTTTTTTTTTTTTTTTTGAGACAAGGTCTGGCTCTACCACGAGGCTGGAGTACGTGGTACGATCTTGGCTCACTGCAACCTCTACTTCCCAGACTCAAACCATCCTCCCACCTCAGCCTCCCAAGAAGCTGGGACCTCAGGCATGTGCCACTGTGCCCAGCTAATTTTTGTATATTTTGTAGGTGGGGTTTCACCACGTTGCCCAGGCTGGTCTTGAACTTGTGTGCTCAAGCAATATGCCTGCTTCTGCCTCCCAACGTGCTGAGATTACAGGCATTAGCCACCACACCCAGCCTAGGTTAAATTTTAATTTTTGAGATAACTGTAGATTTACATGCGGTTTAAGGACCAGCACAGAAAGATCCCGTATCCCTTCCACCCAGTTTCCCCTAGTGGTAACATCTTGCCTAATTACAGTACAATATCACAATCAGAAAGTTGGCATTGATACAACCCACTGACCTCATTCAGATTTCACCGTTCTAACATGCGTTCACGGGCATGTGTGTGTCTATTTAGTTCTATGCAACCTTGCCACAGGTGTTTTTATGTGACCACCACTATAGTCAAAATACAGAACAGTTCATCACAAGGATCACTAGAGGGTCCCTGTCTCACGCCTTCTCCCCTCCCTAAGCCCTGGCAACCATTCCTCTGTTCTCCATCTGTATAATCTTGGCGTGTCAAGGATGTTAGAGAAATGGAATTGGCCAGCCACTGTGGCCACGCCTGTAATTCCGACACTTTGAGGGGCTGAGGCGGGAGGATTGCTTGAGCCCAGGAGTTTCACCAGCCTGGGGAACATGATGAAACCCTGTGTCTACAAAAAATACAAAAATTATCCAGGCATGGCATGTGCCTGTAGTCTCAGCTACTTGGGAGGCTGAAGTGGGAGGATCACTTGATCCTGGGAGGCAGAGGCTGCAGTGAGCCGTGATAGCGTCACTGCACTCCAGCCTCAGTGACAGAGCAAGACCCTGCCTCAAAAGCAAGGAAGTGGAGGGGAGGGGAGGGAAGGCAAAGGAAGGGCAGGAAAGGAAGAAAAGAAGAGAGAAAGGGAATCATTCAGTATGTAACCTTCTGAGATTAGCTTTTTTCACTCCATATGATTCTCTCGAGATCCATCCTGGTTGGTGCGTCTATCGATAGTTCCTTTGGATTGTGGAGTAGCATGCCACGGTACAGGTATTGCAGTTTGTTTAACCATTTGGGCTGAAGGACATTTGGGTCGTTTCCAGTTTTTAAGAATAAAGCTATTAAGAGTAAAGCTGGGTCAGGTGTAGTAGCTCACGCTTGTAATCTCAGCACTTTGCGAGGCTGAAGCAAGAAGACCTCTTGCACCCAGGAGTTCAAGGCCAGCCAGGACAACATAGAGAGACCCTGTCTTCACACACACACAAAATTTAGCTGGGTTTGGTGGCAGAGGCCTGTGGTTCTAGCTGCTTGGGAGGCTGAGGCTGGAGCCCATGAGTTCAAGGCTGCAGGAAGCTGTGATCATATCATATCATATCGCTGCACTGTAGCCTGGGCGACAGAGCGAGATTCTGCGTTTAAAATATGTGCATACATATATAACAATATAAATAAATTATATATATTACGATGCCACAAAGATTCATGTGCTGCTTTCTGTGGGAACCTACACCTTCATTTCTTTGGGATAAATGGCCAAGAGTGCAATTGTTGGACTTTACGGTAAGTGACATTTTTTTTTTTTTTTTTGAGACGGAGTTTCGCTCTTGTTACCCAGGCTGGAGTGTAATGGCGCGATCTCGGCTCACCGCAACCTCCACCTCCTGGGCTCAGGCAATTCTCCTGCCTCAGCCTCCTGAGTAGCTGGGATTACAGGCACGCGCCACCACGCCCAGCTAGTTTTTTTTTTTTTTTTGTATTTTTAGTAGAGACGGGGTTTCACCATGTTGACCAGGATGGTCTCGATCTCTTGAACTCGTGATCCACCCGCCTTGGCCTCCCAAAGTGCTGGGATTACAGGCTTGAGCCACCGCGCCCGGCGTGACATTTCGTCTTTAAAGAAACTGTCAACTGGGCACAGTGGCTTATGCCAGTAATCCCAGCACTTGGGGAGGCGGAGGCAGGCAGATCACCTGAGGTCAGGAGTTCAAGACATGCCTGGCTAACATGGTGAAACTCCATCTCTACAAAAATTAGCCTGGTGTGGTGGTGGGCATCTGTAGTCCCAGCTACTCTACTTGGGAGACTGAGGCAGGAGAATTGCTTGAATCCA